TGTATGATTTATCCAAGTTCACTACAGAGTTTGCTGTTAAAACCAGACAGAACTCCAAGCTCGACTCTGGTTCTGACCATTCAATGTCTCCCTGCTATCAAGCAGCAATGTGTACAGATGTTTTGCCTTTCACTATTTATGTTTCCATTTCACACTCTTATTTCAGCACAGCATCAGAACTGGAGGGCAGCCTTAACAGCAATCCAAAAGCAAAAATTCAGAGGCATTTATGCAGAGACATTAAAATGCAGAGGCATCTTTAACAGCAGCAGCTGTAACCTTCTGAGCTGGATCATGAACCAGGAGCTCTCTACCCTTGATGCAAGAGGTTGCATTCAGACTTACAACAGGTTTAAGGGGATCTTTGAAGTGAAACACCATTCTCAGCAAACCAGAGAAAAGCCAAGTGCGATTAATCCCGCTTCATTTGGGTTCTGGAAGAAAGTTGCTATTTGCTATAGATCCTGATATAGAAGTAAATTCATGCCTTTTTATGTATACATAAGAAACAAAAACCCAACTGTGTTGCATCTTATGCTCAAATACTCATCAGGAAGCAGAAATTTAAATTCCTGCAGCTCGAGTCAAGCTCCACTTGCAGCCCAGGCTTCTCAGCCACAGGGGTATTGATTGTGAGAATCAATTTTGCATATAAATTAAAAAAAAAGCATAATCATTAAAGCATGTAATATTTAGTTATAAGGGCAGAACCACTGTGTCATGCAAAGAGAATGTGACAGGCTGAGTGAGGTTCAGGAATGGGCTGAGATTTAAGGTTAGGGATTGATTCCCAGCATTTGCTGGCTCTCAGTAGGGCTCAGTAGACCAATTCCAATAAATGGCTTGATAAAACAAGCCAGGACCTCTGTGGCAAAGCACTGGCATCTTAAAGGACTTTGAAAATGTGGAGCATTTAAAACTTGGTTTCTCCGAGTACAGGTTTCAGTTGTCACAGCCATGATATAAAAATGTAAGTCAATATTCCAGGATTAAATGTTGCACATGCATCTGTAATGAAAGTGGCATCAAAGGGCTCTAAACAGGCATCTCCATACTGCTTCCCACCTTCACGTCAGTCTCGTTCCACGATGCTCCAATGGTGGGAATCCCCATCAGGTCCAGCAGGTCTTCTCCTACATGTGGAAGGTTTCCACTCACAGATCCAAAGACCCTGCCCTCCAGGAAGACTTTGATGAGAAACTTAACATGAGCCGGCTTCAGTGTGCACTCACAGCCCAGAAAGCAACCGTATTCTGGGCTGCATCAAAAGAAGTGGGACCAGCAGGTCGAAGGAGGTGATCCTGCCCCTCTGCTCTGCTCTTGTGAGACCTCACCTGGAGCATTGTGTGCAGTTCTGGTGTCCTCAACAGAAAAAGGACATGGAACTGTTGGAACAAGTCCAGAGGAGGCCACGAGGATGATCAGGGGACTGGAGCACCTCCTGTATGAAGACAGGCTGAGGAAGTTGGGGCTGTTCATCCTGGAGAAGAGAAGGCTGCGTGGAGACCTCATAGCAGCCTTCCAGTATCTGAAGGGGGCCTACAGGGATGCTGGGGAGGGACTCTTCATTAGGGACTGTAGTGGCAGGACAAGGGGTAACGGGTTAAAACTGAAACAGGGGAAGTTTAGACTGGATCTAAGGAGGAAGTTCTTTCCTGCGAGGGTGGTGAGGCACTGGAATGGGTTGCCAAAGGAAGCTGTGAATGCTCCATCCCTGGTGGTGTTCAAGGCCAGGTTGGACAGAGCCTTGGGTGATATGGTTTAGTGTGAGGTGTCCCTGCCCATGGCAGGGGGGTTTTTAACTGGATGATCTTAAGGTCCTTTCCAACCCTAACTGTTCTATGATTCTGTGATTCAAACCTCTCTGTAAAGAATGTAAACAAAATATAAGAGAGAGCAGGGGAGAGAGGTGCCATCACTGCTCCATTCTGCTGGGGTTTACACACTTCAGCATGACTTTGCTGCCCAGCAGCTGCTGTTGGCAGGTCCATGAGGGCTGCCCCTCACCCTGACCAAGCTGGAGGGTTTAGAGGTTTGGTATTTATGTGAGGACAGATTGGTGGGATGGGTAAGCTGCAGCTCAGCAAAGTAACAGCATCCACAGTATCGGCAAGGTGCAGGATCCCATCTCCACTTTGCTCCCCTTGGAGAACTGGGAATTACGACTTTTAAAAATAAATAGAATCACAGAATTGTTAAAGTTGGAAGGGACTTTAAAGTTCCTCTAGTTTCAACCCCTGTGCTACAGATACAGGAGGTCTAGCACATTCTGACCATGCCATTGCACAGATAACCAGAGTTCATCAAACCCAAAGCCTTCATAGAAACATCTGTGGCAAAGGTGACATTTCTGAGGTCCACTTGTGACAGTCTGCAAGGGTAAGGTGGACCTTACCCTCTGGATACGGTTCACCCCAAAGGGCCCAGATACATGGTGATGTACAGCCACAGGAGATGTCTGCATCAGAGCAGCGCTGCTGTCAGCAGGGCTGTATGGGTTGGAGAATTAAAATACAATGGCCACAGCACCGATATTTTTAAACATAACGTCTTGAGCAGACAGCATAATGAAGAGAGCCACCTTATTAAAAATTAAGTACAAACAGCAAATTATCTCTGAGCCAGTTTACAAACATGCATTAAACACTCTGACAAACAGCATTTTAATAAAACTCACCAGCAGTCTGCACAGGCACAGGAAGTGAAAATAATGATAACAGAAGTAAATAAGACTTTCACCCACTTATGTAACAGCAAAAAACTGGTGAAATGATGGGAAAATTAGTTAAAAGCCAAGATGAGAAATGAGACTTCAGGTTATTAGATCTATAGTGCTTGGCTATTTTGGCAAGAAGTGAAGAGGGTGCTTGTGGTAAGAGCAGTGGTGGAACCTCAAAGCTGCCATTCAGGGGGCCCTGGGCAGGCTGGAGAAATGGGCCAGGAGGAGCTTTGTGATGTTCAACAAAGGGAAACAACAGGTCCTGCTCCATGGGAGCAACAGCCCCAGGCACCAGTACCCAAGGGGACTCATTTGCTGGAAAACAGATCCACAAAGACCTAGGAAGCTCATGGACACCGGGATGAACATGAGCATCCTCCCTGTGCAGCACTGGTGAGACACACCTGTGGTGCTGGATCCAGGTCTGGGCTGCCCAGTGCAGAAGAGACAGGGATACACTGGATGTACTCTGGACATAGCTGAGCACTGGAGCAGGTCAACCAGGAAGCCTGGGAAGTCTCCATCCTTGGAGATGTTCAAAATCCAACTGGACACAGTCCTGGGCAGCTGGCTGTAGCTGATCCTGCTTGAGAAGAGATGGGACCAGACAACCTGCAGAGGTGCTTGCAACCCTCAGCTCTTCACCCTGTTAGTCCATCCTCAGAGGCTGGCTTTGGCTCCAGCAGGAAGGATGGAGAGCTGTCACTTCACTCCACGAACCATCACAAGCTTTCCAGATTAAATCATGGACTTCACTGGGATGAAGACAAAAATCTTCAAATGACTTCATGCAAGGCTGGAAAAGCCATATTTTGGTTACTGTTGTTAGGCTGTGATAGAATAGCTTGTTTTGGCCAGGTCTGTAACACATGAAGCTACCATTAAGAGCAGCCAGGTATGATGGATGCCTGTGGAAGTGGTGGGGAAGCCTGTGGATTACCTACTACAGCTCTCTACCCAGATCAGGGAATTACCTCCATATCTCTAGAAAAGAAATGCCACACAGGGACAAGGTTCATATAATCCAGCTCAGGCTGTTAACTGGAGCTATCTTCTCATCCCACAGAGAAAATAGACTCTAAATCTAGTTTCTAGTGGTGCTACAGCCACAATCCCTTTCCCGTTTCCCAGCGCAGACTTGCTGTTGTATGGTGACAATTTCTGAGGCGGATATTAAAGCAGCCTCACTCAGAAGCTCTCCAGCAGAAGCCAAGGAAGGTTTCTTGTGCCAAATCATTTTTCCTAACAGAAGGTAATTATTAGCTAAATCTTGCCCAAACACCATAATGGCAAGAAGGTCTCTGACAGAGGGAAGGTTATAGAATAAAATTAACCTGCTGAGGGAAAAGCAATCCGGACCTGCAGGGTCTTTAAAAAGGGCTGGAGCCAACAGGAACCAGTAGAGGTGTTTCATAGCATACATAAAGTATATGTGCATGCGATATATATGGAAATAAAGGACAGCGTATGTGTGTATTATTCACATAATATAAAGCTCAGATGTATTCTCCCTGAAGGAAAAGCATGGTTGTTGGTCTTGCTGTGTAGTACACACACACCAGCCAGCTCTTCACATCAGCTTTGGGGACCTTGAGCCCTGTGGAAAGGATCCTGCCTCCGCAGCATCCCACTACATCTAGCCCTGTTCAACTGAAAAGCCAAATTTAGGAGAAAATTACCCAATATGTTATTTCACCGGGTTTTCTGCCTGCTGGAGCATGCAGCAGGGGCTGCTCTGCAGTCCTCAGCGACTGTAATAACTGTAATAAATTACTGAAGTAACTGCGAACTCTGAAAATCCCTCTTTTGCTCCCAGCTCGCTCTGTTATCATCAGTGCTGATCAGAGCTGAGTGACTGGCAGCAGATCACTTTGCTGTCAGCTCACATGTGCTGCACGTGAAGCTTGCGGGGAGCCAGCCCCCTTGCTGCTGGTGCCAGGGCCACCCCTAACTCGGTCACATCACTGCCTGTCCCCTGCTTGCCACCATCCTGAACTGGTGTTTTTGAAGCTGCTTTTGGGATATCAACGTTTCTGACAGGCTCTCATAAACCAGCAATAATACACAAATACATAAAAGCTGACCGTGCCAGTGACGCAGAGGAGAAACAGAGTAAGTCCAGCTGGCCATTGAGCTCAGAGGCAACTCAAGTGCCACACATTAGATTGCATGGGCTGCAATGTCCTGTCAGTGGCACTAATTAGTAAATCAATACCTGCCTTTTTAATAGTGTAGACACTCCTCCCTCGATTGCCCTGGCAAAGAGTGTGAGTCCCCAGGTGAATGGCAGGAGTTACGCAAAGGGGACAGAGCTCTCCCGTTTGCTGACATGGTTGGTTGGGAACTTTTTAAACAATCTTAACTTTAATTTTTTGTTTTCATTGCTTTCCAGGAAGGTTTGCCACAGAAAATCCCACCTGTAAAAGGCAGGAGATGCTACCAGCACAGTGCAAACAGTTAAACACTTTTTCCTATGCCTAGGCTTACACCCAGTTTTATCTAGATATTAATTTTTTTTTTCTCAAAAATCAATCTTTCTCTTGCTATTTCAGCCCCAAAAAGACAACACCAGTAAAACCATCCCTGTTCCTGTTAGGTTTCCATTTGCCTTGAGCAGTGCAGGTTGATGGCAGCATTGACACAGGGAGAGCATAAGAGCATTGCAGACTTTATACTCATAAAGGCTCGGAATTAACATAGGTGCTGAAAGACTTGCTGAACAGCAATGGTTTTACATACTTGTTCTTTGAAATAGATAATTGATCTGCTAATGCTTGCAGCTTTTCAGCAGCACTGCATTATGTATCTCAATCTGAGTATTTCCAAAGGCTAAATCCTCCCATCAGATCCACTGGGAAACCCCTGGATCTGCAGGTTAAATGGGATCTAAGATGCAAAGAGAGATGCCAGGGAGTCCCTCAGGCTTTGAGGGGCTCTCGGTGACTGCAGCCTGGGCTGGAGCAAAGGAATATGGCATCAGGCCCACTTGAATCCTGGGAGATGAAGCGCTACATCCAAAACCTGCCATTTTCCAGAGGATGGGATGAAAGCCCAGCCAAATGAGGGCCCGCTGTTACAGCATGGTGTGCCCTTGCCCCAGGCACCTTCCCCAGCCCACACCTGGTTCCATTTAACAATATGAAACAGGAACCACCCCTTTAGTCAAGTCCTTCTTACCTTGTGAATAGCAGGAGGGCAAAGCAGCAAACCAGTGACCAGCTAGTGGCATCCTACCCACACCTTTGGGTTTTCCCTTCCTTGCACAGATATCACAGCTGAGTTCGTGCATCATTTTTCACTTGGAGCCTAAAACCTGGTGCCTAAGCAAAAACAGTCAGGTTTTGATGCCACACAACCCCTATTTGCTACCAATGCAATTTGCAGTTTTGCTAACATCAAATGCCCAACCCTGTCAGGAGCCCCATATACCACATTGCTGCAATAATGAGAAACAGCTCAAACCTCTCCCCATGCTTCCCTTGAACACCCTGGCAGGTTCTCCCTTAGAATACATCCCCAATGCTCCATTTACAGGCTCTCCAGTGAGCTTTCTCTCTCAGAAACATTTCAACCAGTCAAATCGTGAAATATTGCCAGCAAACTGAATAAACCCAGCTCAGGGCTGGAGTTCCACTGTTCTCCAATCACGGCAAGATCAGTGAGCGCCAGGGTGCATCACTCTGTATCGGGCTAGCTCAGCCCTAGCAGCCTCATCGACAGACTCAGCTTGTTGCTGGTGCTGCTAAATTGCTACAGACTCAAAGCAATTCCAGCTGAACCATCCCTCTAGGTCAGAAAGAAAGAACAGCACTTTCCTAAGGGTAAGGGAAAGCCTATACATGCAGTGAGATAGGAGCTGCTCCTCATCCCAGCGCATCGACAGAGCATGGGAATCTGAGCCCAGCTCCCTCCCCTGCTGCTTCTGGATCACTGAGATTCAGAGCCATTCACCCCACGCAAGGAAATGATGCCCACACGTACGCAAGCCATCCTGCTCCATCCATACCTGCATATTAGAAGCCATGGGAAGCAACATTCCCAGCTGTACTGATGATGAGTTATTAACCCAGTCTCTGGCACAGCTTTTGAATAAGCCCACAGGCAATTTCCTGGGGAGCTCCTGGGCTGCAGCTGATTATGGCCTGAGGGACTAGCACATACCCCCAGGGTGGTACCTGGGGTGCGGGGGGGCGGGCTGCATTCTGCTTTCCTGTCATCTTTCATCCTGGAAGCATCAGCACAGGGATATGCCCCATGACAGAGCAAGGAGGAGCCATCCTTCTAGGGCATGAATCACATTGTCTGTGCAAAAGCATCTGAGGAAAAAAGGGTTATCCCAAAATTTCCCCAGATGATGGACTTCTGAGCCTTATATTGTATTGTTAGGCTCCTGCCTCCTCAGAGACCAGAGGAAACTGGTGAAAAAACAACTAAAAATCCCCAGTTCCCTGGGCAATAAAACTCTCCCTGGGCTGGGCAGGTACTTCATCTCAGTTCAAGATCCACAAAGGATGAGAACTCTCACTGTAATAAGCTCTCCTGGGAGGAACTTTGAGTAGGGCTGGGTGGGCAGAGGCAGCTGCAATTACAGCTGGCAGTAATGTAAATCCAATCCCAAAAGAGCCGGGGAATGGGTGAAAGCAGTCTCAAAGTGTTTGGCAGCCACCAGTGAAGACACCAAAACAATGATTTCAAAAGACACAGGAGGTTCTTAAGGTTGTTTTTTATAACAAAGAATCTTCCTTTGCTTCACCAGCCACCCCAAAGACTCTCACTAAGCATAGGAAGACAGCAAGAACACGTGCTTCAGCCGCTTGCGAGGAATCCTCACTTTAACATGGTGGGTAAAAATAGTCAAAGAACACGCAAAAATCTGTGTCCATGACTTAAAAAATGTACCTTTTCAAAGGGGAGATCTGAGCCAGCTGGGGCAGTTGAGGACCTGCTCCAGGAGGTGCTGCACATGGTGGCTGCTCTCTCTGTAACTCTCACTGGAGTCTTTGCCGTGTCAACGGGTTTATGGGCTTGTCTGGCCATTGACCTGTTGGAGTGAGTCTAGAGGAGGCCATGGAGATGCTGCAAGGGCTGGAGCAGCTCTGCTCTGGAGCCAGGCTGAGAGAGCTGGGCTGGGTCAGCCTGGACAAGAGAAGGCTCCATGGAGCCCAGCCAGTCTACAAGCAGTGACCCCTGCCATCTTCCCCCCAGTTTATATGCTGAGCATGACATCATGTGGCATGGAATGACAGCATAGAACCATATAATCATAGAATGCTAAAGGTTGTAAACAACCTTAACATCATCCAGTTCCAACCCCCTGCCATGGGCAGGGATACTTCACACTAGACCATGTCACCAAAGGCTCTGTCCAACCCGGCCTTGAACACTGCCAGGGATGGGGCAGCCACAGCTTTTCTGGGCACCCTGTGCCAGCACCTCAGCACCCTCACAGGGAAGAGCTTCTGCCTGTCCTCACTGTGTTCCCTCCCATGTTCTTGTGCCCCCCAGCCTCCTCACTGGCAGGGCAGTATGAGACACTGAAAGTCCTTGGCTTAGTGTAAGCCCTGCTCAGCAACACCTAAACCAGTGTACAATCAACATCATTCTCACCCTAAATCCGAAACAGAGCACCGTAACAGCTACTGACTCCATCCCAGCCAAAACCAAGACAACGGGCTGGAGGCAAGTAGACATAGTTGACCACCCTTTTTGGTACGACATCATTTCCTAATGATATCACTGCACATAAATGCTATAATTTCAACCACCTTCACCTCTAAGCTACTCTGACTTTAAAGATCAGCTAACTCCTTGCTGGTGAACTCATGCTTCATTCAATGGTTTGATTCACTGATATCTTAATGACAGCCTCCCCTGTTGTTGTCTTTAATGTTTAAAATATGAAGTAAATGAGCCCTGTCATGCTGAAAATCCTGGGTAGGCTGTAGTAGCTGTTTTCAGTAATGATGAGAAGTTTCAATTTACCCATCATCTGGCATATCATGTGACAAGGTTATCATCTCCTTTCAAGTTTAAAAATCCATTCCTAGCCATCTTGCTAACATCATTCAATATTGTGGCAGAGGCACTGAAGTTACTTTCTAAAGTAAATGTCGCTCCATCAGTAAATGGCAGTGCTGAGGGAGAAGCACAACCAGTAGAGGACAAGGCATCACATTGGTGAAAAGCCCCATGTCCCAAAGTGCCTGTCACCTTCCCTACCCATCCTCTGTTTGCCTTGAAGATGAAATTATTATTTCTTAGTCTTGACAGTTGGGAAACTTGGGGCTGTTCAGCCCAAAGAGGGGAAGCTGTGTGCAGATCTCAGAGCGACTTCCAGTGTCTGAAGGGTGTTACAGGGATGTTGGAGAGGGACTCTTCATCAGGGACATATTGTAGCAACAGTACAAGGGGAATGGGTTTAAACATAAACAGGGGAGATTTAGATTAGATATAAGGAAGAAGTTCTTTACAATGAGGGTGCTGAGGCGCTGGCACAGGGTGCCCAGAGAAGCTGTGGCTGCCCCATCCCTGGCAGTGTTTAAGGCCAGGTTGGACACAGGGGCTTGGAGCAAGCTGCCCTAGTGGTATCCCTGCCTGTGGCAGGAGGTTGGAACTGGATGAGTTCCAATGGTTTGAGAACCCAAACCCTTCCATGAGTCTATGATTTTGTGATTCTCCATGCCTTCTTCCTGCAGGGACTGTACAAGCTACAGAAGGGAATATCCTGCAAAAAGGAAACTGGTCCAATGCCACAAACTGGCCCGAACCATGGAGGCAGTATAGAAGCCTGTGGGCAAGTAACCCTAGGAAACGCGTGCTTCTGAGCCTGAGCATTAGTTGCTCCTCTGCAACAGGAAGTATCTGCTTTCAACAGACCTCTTGTTATATACAAAGAGAAAAAAAAAAAAATTTTGGTTTGGTCCTGTAAATAAGAGCATTTTATTTTTCTCAGAGTGTTTTTCTTCAGTGAAATTTGTCCACAACACAAACTGACTCCACCCCACTTCCAGAAAAGAGAGTGCCTGAAGGGATGGCTGAGTGTGCAGACCCACTGGGGATGCAACAGGCATGAACAAGCAACCTGAAAAGAGTCCACCTTATCCCTCTATCAAGAATTAGTAACCCGAAACATAAAACATTAGTTACAAAGAAAGCATTCATAAGAGAGCAATAGTAGCAAGGGGCATTGCCACAGGACATCAGCACACCAAGGGAGGGAAATCACCCTCACCAGCTTCAGCTCAATCCCATGGCACCTGGGTTCTCCTTGCTCTCTCGCTCCTCTTCATGAGTAAGGAATTCTTTACAACAAGGGTGGTAAAACACTGGCACAAGTTGCCTGGAGAGGTGGTGCATGCACATCCCTAGAGATGTCCCAAGCTGGATGTGGTCCTGAGCAACCTGACCTAGTTGAAGATGTCCCTGCTCATTGCAGGTGGTTGGACTGGATGAATTTCGTAGGTCCCTTCCAAACCAAACAGTCCCATGAGTCTATGATTGTGTGAACCCCAGCATCCTTTAACATGTCCCATGCCAGCCTCTGGGAAGGAAACAAGTAGTCAAAACTCTGATCCATATGCCCCACTACTATTGTATTAGACATTTTCCCCACTTACAGCCATTCCCTTCCACTCACAGTATACCACATGGCAGCCAGTCCCACGCACAGCATTGCACATGCAGCTCGCGGGCATCATCTCCTGCAAATCTCTTTAGCTCTGTTTCATCCAGGCAGCTTTAAAAAAAAAAAAAAAACAACAACTCAACAGATTATATCAAAGGCTTCATCAGATTCCTATTGTCCTGGGTGCGCCACATAATCCGAATGGTTTCAAAAGAAAACTGCTACCTGCTGATAGCCAGAGTGGCTGCCAGTTACCAGATGTCTGGCTTTTGTTGTCTATAACTGGGATAATTTTTGCAGAGAAATGAAAATGGTTTGATCCTGCAGAACAAGATGCACCGTGGATCAATTCACCGCAAAAGGCCTTTTTGAAGGATGTCTACATGGACGGAAATTTTGTTTTAGTGGGATGATTGGCTCTATTTAATTTAAACCCGTATTTATACCAAAAATTCAAATAATGCACCCTACTTTGCATTTCAAAAAGAATCTCAGTGTTTATGAAATCACTTTTGAGTTGCAATTACAGTTATTTGTCTCTGGGACACACAACATGTAATTGGGTCAACATTGTTAATGAGCTAGCAGCATTATTGTTAATGAGCTACTAGTGTTAGTTTCAGTGTTTCATCCCCAGCAGGCGGCAAATACAGTATGTTAAGATAGATAATTATGTTAATGTTACAAATATCCACAGACCAAAGTCGTCATTAAAAATATTAAACAAAGAGGTTAAGTGAGATGATTGTGTGGAGAGAACTCTCCGCAGCAGCAGGGAGGGAGGGACCGGCTCCGCTCGGACACAGAGGTGTTTTCTCCCAGCACTCTTGAGGACAGAGAACAAGCTCTTCACTCTGTTAATGGTGGGCTGGAGTTTCCCCATTTCATGCAGAATGGCAGGAGTTTCATGAAAATAAGATCTTTGTTGACGGCACTCACAAAAAAAAAACACATCAAGAGGGAAAGACCTCTTTGACAAAGACATAGAAGCCTCAGGAGGGCTCCCAAGCATCATCTTGTACACAAAGACCGCCTGACGGCAATGGTTTGTTTAAAGAAGATGGACCCCATTAAGAAAGGGAGTCACTTTGTTCACATTAAGCTCCCACTCATTTCATCTCCTGTCCCATATTCTCTACGTCAAAGAAGCTGATGATGAGCTGTTTCCCATTGACTTCCCCAAACTACTTATCAAGTTGTAGGTTTTATGTCAGAAGTTGGTTTTGCCTTTAAAAAATTATATATGGACCCAAGGACTTCTGATGGAGCTCCAGTACTTGCAGCTGGTGGGAAAAAATCATGACAGAAAAGTCTGTGGCTCTTACATGTCAGGTCAGAATAAGGTACTAGTGGTGGTCATCTAAGGAAGTGAGTGTTTTCTATAAGGAGGAGCCTCTACAGGGTGCCAAAGTGTAAGAGCTTTTCTGGCAGAGTCAGACAGGTCTAGAGGGTTTTCTCTCTAAGCCAGACCATGCAAAGGGAAATAGGAGTTAATGTGTTGACTCAAATAAAAAGTGTATTTTGGGGACCTCCAAATAAAGTACTACACAGAGTGTTCCGGTTCCATTCAGTGCTTCAAGTGACAGTGAATGATTGATGAAAAACTGATCAGTCATGAAAAATAATTGAATTCTGCAAGATCAGATGTAATTAATGAAAGATAATTGAATTGATTATATTTTGAAATAATTGAAAATATTAAGGGAAAATAATTGGAATGCACAGATGGTTATAGGCAAGAGCATCTGTGAAGAAATTTATTTGGCAATAGCTAAATACCAAGGAATTTAAACCAAACCACTCTTCCTTTACACACAGATTTTAGACAAAGCCCCATTGCCAATAACAGAATAGTGCAGTTTTTCTGAGAGCCACTGCAAGGTACAGAAGTGAGCTAAACCCCCAAAAATAATCCCAAATTAGGCAAAGTTAAAACATTTTATCTCTAAAGGAGATACTAATTCCTGCAGCCTAACTTCCCCAAATGTTTTAACTGCTGCAGAATTAAACCCCCCAGGGGAACCTGAGGCTCCCACTGCATTCAGATACACAGCAAAGCCTCCAAGTGCTTTTTTCCAAAACAACCCCTAAATACGAAGGAAGAGAAAGACTGCACACCATGAGGAATGTACAAACAAGGTACAAAATGCCTCCCTTGCTAAGGTCAGTCATTAGTAAAAACATCTGAGCCTTAAGTCTTGCCCTGCTCAAAACTCCTCTGCAAGGGGAAGCAACATTGCAAGAAGATTTACGTGCTGGTTTTACACAATTACTCATCAGTTCAGTGTTTTCCTTCCCATCATTCACCTCTCTTGTCTAAGGGGTTATCCTAATGGGTAGATGCTTTGCTCACAAGATATCTTCTCATTAAACAAGAAGTTTAGTTCTGCTTACTGTTTTGCAAACTGCATAATAGAGTCCTTCTTTATTCCCCCTTCAGAGCTGTAAACACTTCCCATCTTTTCCCAGGGCAGAGATCCCAGATTCAAGTGTAGCCTTTAGTTTTGCTTTCCAATAAATCCCCTGGACCTCAAACAGCATCTTCAGCTTCTGACAGCCATGTTACTAGTACCTACAAAAAAGCACACCAGTCCAGTCCAATACTGTTCTTTGCTGGAATAAATTATTTCCAAGACAACAGCAACACGGCAGATTCTACAACTCAAAGCTTAAGAAAAAATAAAGCATCTCATTTGCAGCAACAGAGGAAACTATTAGTAAGACAGCAAAAAACGTTGATTAACACAGACCTTTAAAGGGACTGAACTGAAAGTTTATCATAATGGGCTATGCTGGAAGAGAGAATGGAGGCTAAAGCTGAACCTGGAGGAAAGCCAACCTGCAACTGCTCTATTTAATGCTTGGTTTAATAAACTTAATCAAAAAATAAAAGCACAGGGACAAGTTTTAATAGTTAGCTGGGAAGCATCAACAATATGGAGAGGGTTCAGGATATTAGGCCCACAGAATTGGAAAATAAGGCACAAATTAATAGCATAACGTGCTAAATCATGCATCTAGGATTAACTACAGAAATTAAGGCTCTAATGGAAGAATAGAAATTACTCATTTAACCAATGTATTGTAGGATCTCACTGGGTAGTCCACAGTTTTCCTGGGGACAGCCCAGTGGGCACACTCCTACATTAAAACTGCAGACCACCAGCATGGTGCACCTTTGAAAAGTCTCAATGCAACCCTAAGGCACAGAGACATAATTCACCTTGTATTTCTGACTTGTGGGAAACATCCCTGATACACTAAGAGACTGGTGGGACACTGGTGGAAGGTCACTGGCCCTCCTGGCCCTCCTGGTGCAGGTGAGGTGGATCCAGGCTCGACCAAGCCCACAAAAGATCCATCATAAAAATACTGAAGACATTTATCAGTGGATGCTGAAAAACTCGTCTTGATCATCAACACAATGACATCTCAGAACATACTTGACCAGTTTCACCAATTACACTTTGAAAGAAGATAATCAGGAAAAATGAGCACTTTGGGCTCAGAAATGGTTGATGAAAGAAAAGGATGCAAATTTTCTACAAAGGCACAAAGGCTTCTGATTTTAAAATAAAGTGTCAAAAGACCTGGGTTCTGGTTCAGCCTTCCAGTAAGATTAGTGGAGAAAAGAAACTTGATTAGCTTCAAGGAATGGCTCAACCAATTTATAAAGCTGTTGTGCTGATACAGGAGTGGACACAAAAGGTATTTCCCAGTCCTATGTCTTAAGTACCTCAACCCATTTTAAATACTTTATATTTGGAATTGGAAAAGTTCAATGCACAGAAGAAAGAGGGAAGGGAACCTAACATTTCACAGGCAATAATCATGCAGCTGTGGGCTTTTTTCCCCCTGTTAAGGACAACAGAAGCCATACAGCAGTGTATGGACTTGCCTGGTTTCACTGGGACTTCAAGGAGCACATGGGAAAATTAATGCACCCATTGAAAGGTGGGAGAGGGAAGAGAAAACCCAATCCCTTACAGAAGAAACAGCCTTAGTGCTGGTACTCCCCAAAACACTGCCAGCACGACTAGTCTTGGAAGGCAGACGCAGGGACTGTGAGAATTAAGACCTGAGGCCCACTGTAGGAGAGGATCTGGTTCGAGACCATCTTAAAAATCTGAACGTGATCAAGTCCATGGGTCCTGATGAGATCCATCTGCAGGTCCTGAAGGAGCTGGCAAATGAAATTGCTAAGCCACTGGCCATAATATTTGAGAAATCATGGCAGTCAGGTGAAGCTCCCGATGACTGGAAAAGGGAAATATAACCCCCATTTTCAAGAAGGGGAAAATGGATGACCCGGGGAATTACAGAGCAGTCAGTCTCACCTCTGTGCCTGGCAAAATCTTGGAGCAGATTCTCCTGGAAGGCATGCTAAGGCACATGAAAAACAACAAGGTGGTTGGTGACAGCCAGCAGGGCTTCACTAAGGGGAAATCCTGCCTGACCAATGTGGTGGCCTTCTAGGATGGGGCTACAGAACTGATGGA